CGTCGGAATGGAACGGTACCCGGGTTGTGCCGCGTCTGACATCTCTTGCACTTCTCCCCCCTCGTCTTCCTTCACTCTCCGGCTCGTTCTCATTCCCTTCTTCCTCTCTTTGGGCTCAGAAACGCGTTCACTATGGATGGTAACTTCTTTATGTATGCGAACGGCGGACGGCGGCTCGACCAGAACAGCGGGACGTAGGCAGCACCTCGTCGACGACGGAGCACCCCGCGACCTGAGGACGGCAGGAACGCGCAAGTGAATAGGGGCCCGCCGCGCGAGTGAGCGCCGAGTCATTGCCCGTTGTGAACGGCGAGTTGTTCCCGAAGCCTGACGTTAACTATTTTACCCATTACAGAACACTCCTTCAATCCCCTTTGGTCTCTTTTCACGACGCTTCTCGCTCTTCTTCTCTATGGGCACTCCGGCCGAGAGCACGGCAGCGGAGTGGCGCTTTTGTCATGTATTATAAAGGTGACCTCCCACCTTCGAATGGAGCAAGCACCTCTTTCCCCCAGAATCTCCCTTCGAGTGTCATTCCCCTGTCGCGCGTGAGCTGTCGCCTCCGCCCGCCTTCGAGTCAAGTATAGAACCGCCCGCGAGAGCGCGGGCACGAGCACGAGCAGTAAGTCTAGTCGAACAGTATATTAGCTTAAGTATTAGGTTGTAGGTTTTGGCCCTCGCGGCGTCTCTGTAACTAGAGTTCGCTGCTCGCGCGTTCAAGTTTCTTTTCCCTCGACGACCATATCCCCTCCTTCATCCTACCGCACCGACGTCGACCCGCGTAAGCCGAATCTACCTCTACAACGCCCCTCTAGTGACGCACTAGAGCTTGTACTCGTATTACTGAAGGCGGCCACCGCCCAATCCGCCGTGGTCTTGACCCATCCGCTCACCACAACAATATCCTCCTGCTTGATGTCCTGGTGGATATCATTCTTGGCGTACGCGTACCATCTATCGCAGTGACGAACGATGTACTTCTTCAACAGCCGATTCCTGAGTATCTTCTCTGCGTGCGCTTCGCTCTTGAGGACAAGAACCGCGCCCTGCGTCGCCCTGCATGTGTAGCTGGCGTCGAGAGTCACAGAAAGGCCTGCGCCGGCCGTCCTGCGTAGTCCATACTGTCAGCGGAAAGACAGTAGTCGGAGGAACTGATGCACCCACACGTCTGCCGAGGCATGCATTTCCTTGCTCTCCACCCCGTGGCTGCGATAATCTTTTGGAACGAGCGGGCTACGCCTGGAGTCGATCCTGAATACTCCCGGAGGTACGGGCTCTGTGATCTCGAATGGCGGGTCCCAGAGTTTGACCTTCTTCTCGGGCACGGAGGCGTCGTCGAGATTGAACAGCCTGACGAACGCGCCCTCGTCCACGAAGCCGACGTCGCCTATCTGTGGCTCGCCCGTTCCATGCGGTTCGGGATACCAGAGGGCGTGGCCCAGGTGGAGTGTCTGGAGGCTGGATGCATATATCTCGTCTGGAGCAGACGGTAAACGAGACCGGAAGAAATTGCGCATAAGGGCAAGAAAGCAAAGGTGTTACGAGCTGGTAGGGTAGAGATGGCGGTGCAAATCCAGCCTGGACGTACACATGCAATGATAACAGTGGCAGCTCCGGCGTCATTTCCCTGATAGCTTCGCACGAGGAAGAGGAAGACGAGCGCCCAAGCTGCGAATGAAGACATGGGTCGAGCGCTCACACGTTCACGTTCAATCTGCGGGTACTTCTTGAAGCTTGAAGATTGGAGATGGGATGTTCGAGTCTGCAAATACTGACAATCGCTGTTGAATTTTTGGACAGCCAACAACCAAGCATTCGATCGGGCGACGTACAGACTTCAAGTTCGCATCGCACGTCGATCGAGCAATTAGAGCACAGCGCCTGGAGGTGCACTACATGCCAAAAGACCGTAGCCGTGTCGCTGTTATTACACTGCTGTCATGATGACCTCCCAGTGACTCAGGGCTGACATAGCCTAGCAGTACGATTTCCTCTCCTCCCGCAATAGCTACTTCGGTATCTGAGACCTGAGATACAAGAAGGCACTATGAGCCAGGCGACCGCGCAAGGTAAATGAGCATACCTTGTGGATGTAGCCTAAATGGATGTCCAAGTGTCAGCTAAAAAAAAATGCGCATCTAGCAGCTACCGCGGGGCTTTACCATTCGACACTCACCTAAGTTTCAGTTTCAGCCTTTTCTCATACACGAGCCTTTCATTCGCTTTACACTTTACGCATTTACCCAAGGAGACTTGAGGAGTGAGGAATGAGAACCTTGAGTGACCATACTGCATTATCGTTTGTTTCGTTGCGAGTATCATGTGAGCGAGCCCATTGGCAGGAGTCAAATATACATAATACTGATAATTTATGACGTGACACATAATATGGCAGTATTGGCTTGAAGCTCAGGATACACAGCGGCGGGAGCGATAGAGAATAGCGATCACTCGGGTATCGTGTAATGAAACCCGATGCGTTGATCTGGAAGCTACAAGAGAGGGCATGAGCGGTCTGCAGTGCACACACTATGTAATGAGCCAGAGACTTACAAGCTGCCCGTAGAGATACGTCCACGCCTTACCAAGCTCGAAGAAAAAATCCTGGCGAATGACCGACTGGGGGCCGTGTGGACATTTGGCGTAGTTGAAGTCCACCAAGACGACACGCTCACCGGGCAGCACGAGGATGTTGCGCCCCTCGATGTCGCCGTGCAGGACGTGCGCCTTGTTGATCTCGCAGAGCGCGCGCATGGCGGCTTCCGCGACCTTCTCCGAGACGTTGTCGATGCTGAGCTGCTGGGCATCCACAAAGTACTCAAGAAGTAGTGCGCGTATAGGACCCGCGCGGTATCCGAGGTACTGCGCCATGTACGAGGCACCCGGCAAGGCCGCAACCTGCGCCACATGTTCCGGCGTCAGCTCGAGCCAGCCGTAGCACATCTGGACGTAGCCCCTCGCACAGACGCCAGCTTTGAGCAGGTGCGCATATGCCTCACTCTCCTTCTCGAAGCGGTCGATAAAGACAGTCCATGGTCCTTCAGGATCGTTAGGTAAATTTTGTACTTCTTCTAGTGCGGTGTCGGGAAACTGGCAACAAGAGGTTAGTGGCCAACATCGCAAGAGGTACGAGAGATATCGACCAACAATTTTTAGCAGCCGAACGTGTCCTTCGAGCTGAACAGTCACAAGCACCGTCTTGCCCTCTGGGTGCCCTATATCCTTGAGGCAAATCGCGTCGGAGGGTAGAGTTATTTACTGCACTGATGGCGGCCGTGGTCCAGGTTCCAACGGCATCTTCTCGTCAAGTAGTCTATCATCAATTAGAATGAAGGGGTTCGTCCCGTACATCCAGCGAAGCGGATTTGAGCCGTATGCGGCCATTGCTCGCGCGGCTTCGATGAATTGTGGCGTGTCGTCCTGCCGCTCGAGCTCCATGCTGTGTGGGATGAGGCTGTACGGCAGAGGGTCGAGCTCGAACGGATTCTGGTCGGGGTATGACCTGATAATCCCAGCAGAAATGTTCAAGGTAGTCATCGTGAAGAACGGCAGGAGCTGAGGGAGCCCAGACACCGGCATAAAAATAAGGCGCTTACTTTAGATCTCCGCACGGCTTTACCCGTACCGTCATTCTGACTCCCTCTTAATAGTCAGCTCGATGATTATATCATGCTTATGTTGCTCATATCGCGCTATGCTACGCCGTGAAATATACATAGACGTGGTAGAGAGCCTGCTAATATGTGAGAAAGCTGCGTGTTCACTGCGCTACAGGTCATATAGAAGCTACAGGAAATGTTTGGGGCTCACAAGAGCGCTAGCCGTCGATTGGCCAGTCCAATGATTGCCTGCTGGCACTGCGTCATTAATTCTCCGGCACCTGCCTAAGTAGTAGCTGACTTCACTGTACCTATCTGTGGCAAAAATGCCTCAGAGCTGTCCCAAGATTCGAGGCGCATATGTCCACCGGGAACTACGGTGTGTCATCCTGGTGTTCAAGCGGCATGCTAAGGGACGGGGTGATGCGACATGGGGTCTAGCTCAGATAATTTTCATTCTGGGTAGGATTGATGTCCCATGTGATCAACAGTGGTGTCATTAGGAGGAGGCCAAAGGTTGGGTCGGCTCGTGGGCCGGACAATGCCAATGGTGCGACATACAACAGTATAAACGTTCATCTGGCCGTGTTTCAGAGAAACGTGTGGCTACCAAGACGTCTAAATGCCAGCAATCGCTCGTCAGATCACCTCTTCAAAAGATCCTCACTCACGTCGTTGATCAGCTCATGAGACTTTTAGAGCACAGTCCCGTCCGCGATAGCCCTTCCAGCACTTGAAGTCTTTCCCCCTTCTTCGCTGAATCGATATTATCCCTGAATACTTGCGCGGCTGAAAAACCGAACAGCTGCGACTGGGCGACATCGGGAAAGATGAGTGGTGCCTATCTCCTAGGAGCGGCAATGACCTTCCAGCGACTCATGAGAAAGCGGACGGAGCTCACGGCTATGGTCTGCAGGGCTCGGATTCGTAAAACGCTATCCTTCCTGGCATGGGGGTCGGTCAACGAGACGAACATGCCAATGAAGATGAAGATAACTTTATCGCCCAGGGTTGCGCCTAAGGCCCGGCGTGAAGTTATCGCATGAGCCTTGGATCGACTATCGTGAGAGCTTTTTTGGTACAAAGATGTTGAAGAAATCACAATCCGCGTCTCTTATGGGCGAAACTCTTCTCGTGACTTACGTCAGCCAGCGGAGTTGGCGGTCCACTTGGACAGTGCGGTGCCGTGGATAAACTCACGTCGGTCATATTGTACACGTGTACTGGCCAGCCCTTCGCCCAGGCCGTGTGGCTGATCACTTTGACCTAAAGGTCGCGCGTAGCGTCACGTTTTTCCTGCGGCATAAAAAAGGGGTTTGACCGGTAAGTAGAGTTTGAAGCTAGCAAGGTAGATAGGACGTTAGACACACTTAGAACCGTTTGATCCGCAGAGACCTTCGCCAGGTCTCCCGTCGGAATGATAGCCTGATGAAACCCCGTTAGTCATGCTGCATTGGCGACGCTGGTCTCACGGATTTGAGAGGTCTTGTAGGCTCCTGCCGGTTCTCTACCTTTGACGCCGGGAAGCTGCATGTTTCACGGGTGAATGGCGCGCTCGATGTGGTCCGCGTCGACGAGCAGATCGCACGTGGCTTTCGACTTGTCCCTGAGATGCGAAAGTTACAGAATCATCAAGGAAGTCACATAAGCTGCATGACGCTTAAACTGACGGCGCGATAAGCCGACAAGAGGGCTCGCATACTCGAACAGCAAGAGCGCTACAGACCCACTGCATAACCCGTACAGCACGAAGCCGCAGACGGTATATATGGCTTCAGTCGAACGATAAGTCGTCGACGTGGTTGCATTTGTTGCAGCAGAGAGACCTGTCCACGCCGACACTTCGTCGGAACTGGTTGGACTGGCAATTGCGTTTGGGGTGCCTGCCTGCGGTGACAAGCGATATTAGCCCTTGCTTTGAGACGGAGAGTATGTATGCTCTCCTAGATACGACGCGGAAATCACGTCAACGCCGGTCGCGTTGAGAGCAAACACGTTCCCCGTAGATGCTGAGCCTATTTCACCGCCAGGCACACAGCGGGACTGCCGCTGTGGGAAAGATCTGCGGTCTAGAACTGGCCGAGTGAAAGGAAAATCTACTTACACGCCGGTAACGCGAGCCTCTTTCCTGGTACAGATAGCCAATAGATGACCCGGCAAGCCTGTAAGATCGAGTTAGCAACGCACTCTATAATTGCATAAAACCCATATCGGAGCCTGCGTACCATGAGAACACGGGTCCTACAACGGACAAAGAAGAGCTTACGAGGTAAGCACTGAAGGTTATCCCGAGCACCAGGTGAACACGATAAGACGATTCTGCAGCCAATCGTCGCCTTGCTACGTCGGCGGGCGATAGAAAATTGACCGTTTCTGCGTATGAAATCCGAGCTTCTTGCTTTCTCGGGAAAGCAAAACGCACCAACAAGCCCAAATCAGTGGTATATTAATCCGCTGATGCCGGCCTGTGAGATCCAGAACTATTGGTAATAACTTGCATTCTTCTGTCTGAGTATCGAAATAGCACGTGTTGCAGCATCGCGCTCTCTGCGCGTCGGACTGCTTTGTGAGCGTAGAGCTACTACAACTTCGCGATGCCGCGAGCCGCTCTGGCGAGGATGCCGGTGAGGTTCAACATGCAGCAGCCGACTCAGAGCCTGAGCATTTGGCAGCATTGGTATAAATACGAGATATCTAGCCGCCCTTCAGCAATGTTTCTACGGCAAGTTACAACACGGGTCGTCGATGGACTCACTTTCAGCTTGATAAATCCCTGCCTTCCCCACGCATTCGACTGTTGAGCCAGTAAGTTTCAGTTCAATAAAAGCTTGATATATCTTACCATGCCAATAATCAACAATACAGCGTCACACCTTGTTGTCAGACAAGGCAGTTCCGATTCCCCTAGAATCGGGTTATGGACCGAACCGTGCACGCCCAAGAGTCACGTGACTTTCAGCCATTGCACGG